TGTTAGCTGGCCTATAGTGAAATGCAAGCACATGTGTGTGATGTCTACCCACCAGGGTTTGTTACTGCACATACTACATTGTGCATGTGCCATGGGAGTGCATGATGCATTCACCAAAAATGCTCAATTGTGATTTTTGTGGGATGAGCCGAACAGCTCATCAGCATGGGGACTAGGCCATCATTGGCTGCAATGGGATCATTATTAACACTTATGTGACAAAGCGTGTTGCTTACACTTTAAATCTTGTTCCATATGCTTTGTTGAAACTTGATGCGTGTTACTTGTATTTTCGCAAGTTTCAAAAACACAGTTCGGTGACCCGGATTGCCCCTCTAGAAAAAAATCGTCCTGGTTCGACAATCCGAATCGACGGTGATTTGGCCAAATGACTCGGCGAATAAAAATTAGAAAACATTAAAAATAACATTAAAAAACTCATGTGGGACTGGTCCTTTGTTAGAAACTGTCTGACGTGGCCGGCTCCTAATATTCTAGACGAACCGGATGGCCCGACCGATTCCCTATCCAAACCGGTTGGTGTCGATCCGGTTTATCGATCTTTTAAACCTTGGTTTTTAGTTTAATTAATTTACATGAAGTAATACACTTGATGTCTAGACTCTAGAGTCTCTGGACTGAAATTACCGACAACAGAGTTTAAGAGTTTTTCAACGGGAAAGAGGGTAAGAGTAAATTTAATATTGGTTTGAAGTTGAATGGTTTAGTATTGGTCCATTGCTCTCAATGTTTCTAGAAGATAGAGCGGGCTGTTAAAGGTGCCAAAGTCCAATTGGATCAATTCATTCTAAAGTCTTATGTTGCAATCTAGCACTCAAATGGTTGCATTTAGATTTGTTCTTGCTGAATGCTTAGTATTATATTACTAGTTCATGGCTTCATGCACATAATACTTGGTGAACTAAGATCATGTGGCATGGGTGGGGGGTTCATGAGTCTCGTGACTAATATATTCGCATGCATCTCACGTGTAAAATCCATTCTTTACAACTGCTAAATGTCTTTCTCGGTATAGTCCATCTCAAAGAATGGTTTTTTTCCCTAGGATCCATGATCTAGAGTTCTAGAGTCTAGACAATGTTGTCTACGTATACAAAGAAAGCATAAACTTTAGAATTTAATAGTACGTCCTTTCAAAATTTTTCACACCCTTGATTTTGGATTTTGATAGACTATTGTTTGTTTCCCAAAAAAAAAAAGAAAAAAAAGAAGAACAATAGACTTTCGTTTGTTGCGTCCATCTTTTAAAATGAACGTGGTCTAATGGTCATGTTGTCATGACTCATGGGAGGCATGCGTCCCCCGGCTCCCCAGATTATTTAACACTAAAGAAGGCATTAATACATATGGACATAATGCAAAGGGCATTGTATCTGTCCAGGTCATGTAAGATTATGAGAAACTAAGGTCTGTCCAGGTCATTGTGGTACTAAAAAGCTACAATTTAATATCATAGTAAGCCAATTTATAATATTAGTAAACCTTATTATTGTAATAAATTGGAGTACTATAACTGTGGTATTGTAGTAAGCTAAGGTGCATGATAATGGATCAAGTGAGCATTAGCTTGATCCTAATTTTATCATATACTATCAATTGATCTTGTTTTATTTATAATTGAGCAGATCCCTCCAAGTCAAAACCTCGACCCCCAGGGACATGGTATCTTGCTCCGTGGTATCCTAGGATCTAGCTCCTTAACCTATTGAATGTACGAAGGTCGATTCTAAACCTAAGGAGCTTTCACCCTATGGCTGTTCGATGTTCCCCAAACCGACTTGTCTCCAACAACTATGTATGCTGATACCCCCTGAGGCACCCCGTGCTTCAAGGGTTGCCCATTGGCACGGTTCGATGATTTTAGATTTGGCTACTGTGTGCGGTGGGGGGGGGGGGGGGGAGTGATGGGGAGATTTGGTTTCAACTAAGCCCAACATTGCTGGCGTGAATTTTAGGTTGAAATCATGGATCGTCCTGCATTTGATGGGGTCACCAAGGTCCTTGATATTCCATGTGAGAATTCTCATGGGGGAGAAGGGTTGGGGGAGGAGGCACGCCTTTGGGAGCGTCAGGGAAGCTTGGATGCCGAAGTGACTAACGAGCAAGGGAATCAGGCCCATTGTCTAGCCGATCATAGTTAACCCCAAAGGCTAGATTAGCAATTTCCCGTTTGCCCTTGACACTTACTCTGAAACGCCCTTGGGCAATCTGTTGTGATGAAGGCTTCAATGGCTTCCTTAGGTCCGTCGTATTGGAAACCCATGACCTTCAAGACTTGAAGAATGTCACTTTGAGCTTTGTTGATACCGTCGAAGTTGGAATAGGTTGAAGTCACTTTGGCCGATTGAGATGTAGCACTCGATTGTGAACTAGCGGTTGAAGCTGGTGAAGGAGGGGAGTGATGGCAGTTAATGGGGTTGACGAGGGAGCCTTAGGGAGGGGAGTGTCTTGATTCCTGGTGGATGGGGTCGGGGGGTAGGTAAAGAACGAATGGGGATTGAGTGAAGTAGGTGCATGAAATGTAGAGAGAGGGGTTGGGGGTTGTAGCAAGGGAGGTAGGCTTACGTGGGATTGGCTGAGAATGCGGATGGGAGTCTTGGGTGTTTTTTTTTTGGGGGAGGGGTGGGGGGGGGGGGGGGGATGTTGGCGGATAGTAGAAATTAAGATGTGGAAGGTGTGGGGGGCACGTTCCAAAAGCAGGGATGAGGGTGATGGGAGTTGGCTGTTGGCAGGGCCTGGGTGATAAGGAGGAATAGGGCTAGGAAGGGAGAGTTGGTTCAAGTAGAAGGCTAAAATGGGCAAAGGGTAGACCCAAATGGACATGATTGGAAGTTGTGAGAAAAGATATGAGGACTTATGGCCTCAATGAGGGTATGGCCCTTGATAGAGCAGATTGGCAGACCAGGATTCATGTAAGCGACTCCAAATATTTGGGAAAAGGCTTTGATGATGAAGGGGAGGCAAGTAGGTAGGAAGAGGTTGAGGGGTGTAGGAGGTGAGGAAGGGTAGGCATTTTTTGATGTTGATTCAAGATGATTCTCTACAACAGGTGGGTAGGGAGGGGGTTATAGGAGGAAAGGATAAGGAGAAGAGGGAAAGGGGAGGATGGGCTAGGTGGCTGGATAGATGATTTGGGGGGGTTACAGGAGAAGAGGCATGAGAGGACCTTCGATCTCGGAGTTGGGGTGCAATGATAGGGAAGAAGGGATTAAGACCTTGGAGAGTGGGTTGGATAGTAGTTGAAGTGGAGAGAGGCGGATGTGGGCGGTGAATGCTAGGACTCAGGGGAGGACGGGGGATGGAGGGGGCGTAGAGAATAAAGTAAGGTGGGGAGAAGAGGGAAGAATGCAGGGCTTGGGGTAGGGGGAGGGAGAGTGGGGTGTGGATAGACCAGATTCAATAAATCTCCTTCATTTGTTGGTTATATCCTTGAAGATGTCAAATGCAAAGGATGTAACAGGATGCCTATACTCATGCACCATGAGTTTTTCGGGATAATCAGGGATGGGTAGGGTTCCATGGCATTACTGTCAATAGAGTACCTACTGCATCTCCAATGTCTTTGCTGGCTCACTCTTTCTGCTTCATCCTTTGAGTCCGGAGCAAGATAAGAGCCTAGCCCCCCTGTAATCTTTTACAGAAGGCAGGTTTCTTTAATCCTGAGGCATTTTTGGTCCAGGCATTGGAATCCAAGACATGTACTGTTTGTAGGCGGAATGAACCTGGGGCTGAAGCCTTCAGTTTCCCTTCCCCTTTTCTGGATGACCTGCGGCCTCACATTGAGTACTGGGGTTGTGTCTTCTCTATCCTCTGTCACCGACTCTATAGAGACGTTTTATTCTCTTGTTCCACCCCTGACTTGGGAAGACATTCCCCTGGTGCCCTGTGATTGTGTTGCTTCTCTTACTCCCTCTCATAAGCATGTCCATGTAGCTCCCCTTCGATACATTAAGTCCTCCATCTTGTTGATTGGGGTTTCTACTATTTGCAAGGTAATGATGAAGCAGCTGCATTGCATCAATATCCTTCTCGTCATCTTGCATTCATTGCCACATCAATCACAGTCATCTTCTCAACTCTCTCTGTGAAGATCTAGTCACATATAAAGCCTCTTCACTTAGAGCCCCCTCTTTTACGTCATGGCTGTGGCACTCGCCTAGTTTTCTTTCTATTACAAGATCTTGGCTTCCTTTAAACTGTACCTCTTAAATCACAATGTCTCCGGCAGATAATCCAGAGTTTCATGCTAGTATGTGTGCTTTGAAATTTACTATAACTCAGCTCAGGAGAAAATGTTAGCAGAGATCATGCCACACTGTGTTACATATGTTCATAGCTTGCTGAAATCATCACAAAATCCACTTCATGATAGGCATCAGTTGATATGGATATGTAGTCCAGCACCGTGGTTTGAGGGGTAAACAATTTTTTTTGTGCATGTACACTTGCTGACATGCTTTTCTCCGAATTTGCATGTTTGCTGTTATGAGCAAAGGTGGGCATCTATTGATGTCCGTTACACCCCTATGCAGGGTATGTCACACACAAAACACTGATCTATGTGAAATGCTGGTCTTCCATGGTATGATTGGAAGTTTGGGACATTGGCTGGGGAGTGCCATTTTTGGGTTGATTCACTTGTTGCACCTGCGGGAACTTGAATGTTGAAATCTACCTGTTTCACTAAATTGATTCCCATGTATTTACTTTATTTGAGATTATATTTGCAGCTGCATGTATAGATATCACTCTTCTGAACTTTTTACTTGTCATGTTTGCTCTGGGTTAAACTTGTAATAGAACTTATAACTAGGAGCCTCTGTCATTAACTTATGGACCACAAATATAGTCATGTTTGCTTTGGGTTAAATTTGTAATAGAACTTATAACTGGGAGGCTCTATCATTAACTTATGGACCACAAATATAATCATGTATCTGACTCATTTTCTACTTTATACCTCTTTGTTTTTCCTGAAGACGTTCAATGAGATACAGAAATTGCTCAGTAAAACCAATGGAAAAGTTATAGCTGAGGTGATGACGCCTGCACCACTAGTTGTACGAGAAACTTCCAACCTTGAAGATGCCGCAAGGTATCATGGTGGACTTGATCAGTGAACTTTGTTATCATCCTGACTTTATGTTTCGCTAGTATCTTATAATGGGAAACAATAAGTATTCCTGCTAACTAAAATCTTTCAATCTAATTATCAACACTTCTCAATACAGATTATTGCTTGAAACAAAGTATCGTCGACTTCCCGTGGTAGATAGCGAGGGTAGGCTGGTAAGATACATTGTTCTTCATTTAACATCTTCTAACCTTTGTTGCGTATCATTTTCTCCTAAATATTTGTTCTTGTTACTCAGTGACTTGTTTTCACCTTGTTTTTTTTCTTATTTTTACTGTGTAGGTTGGGATTATTACTAGGGGCAATGTTGTTAGAGCTGCCCTTCATATAAAACGTGCAAACAAAGATGCGGATGGAAGTTGATGTAGGAAAGAAGGCTGTGGGGGCAGCATTGTTGCCTGATGGTGTCCTTATTCATGCCCCCTTTCGTGTGTGTTTTTGTGTGTGAGAGAGAGAGGGAGAGATTTTCTCAAAACGAATTCTCCATGCAGATCACCGTTGATACTGTTGGGGATAACATGTGTGATTGTCTCATCCTGGGTGCATGAATCAATGGATCTCATAAGTTCAGCCGATTAACTTGGTAAGAGTCAGTTTGGCGGAGAAGGAGAGCCCATGATTTCTGGTCTCCAAGCCCATCTCTCCAGCGTCTCCACTTTCTGGCCTACCTGCCCATACGAAACATGCCGGAGAGTATAATTCTTATTTAGATGGACAAGATACATTACTATCTATTGGATTTGTGCAACTTTTCATTCTGTTAACCTGAGTTTGTGTTATGGAAGATTCTTAATTTTTTCATTGCATCCTTAATGATGGAAGGAATGCGCTAGGAATTAATGTACCATGAAAGGAATGCGCTAGGAATTAATCTATATGTCCTAATTTAGGAGGTACTTTGCTGTGCACACTCAAGAAAGAGAGAGATTAGTCAAAGCACAACGAGGACAACTGGTCGCTTTTTTAGCCGAGAGAGAGAGAGAGAGATCTAAGAGTTAATAGTAGGCAGGCACATATTTATTTTGACCAAATTGAGTAAAAACAATACCATCAAATTTGCCAATATATTGTACCATTTCGAATGACAAATGCGGTAGCCAAGTAATCGGAAGGCTCAGGAAGAAGGTTTCTATGCGGAAGAATGAAGAGAGTGGGATATCCAGCTTTCTTGTGTTGCTGAGGGCGTGCAACTTCGGGTTATGTGGAAATTGAGATCGATGGAGCTTATGCACGTGATTCGTGGTATGAATGTTACTTTCAAACATGTTTATGGGGACGGTAATGATGTGGCCGACTCTTTGGTTAAGAAAGCATGCGTTGGTTATTTTGGATGTTATTGTTTGAATTTCTTGTAACCTTTTTTGATTAATAAAATTATGAAACATTGTAAAAAAAAAAAGAAAAAAGAAATAAGTTTAGGTTGGTTGATTGGAGTAAGGTGTGTGTTCAAACAAGAGAAGGTGCAATAAGAATTAGGTATTCCACCTATAGAGAAGTATGTAAGGGGAGAAGTGTGGAACAGATAAAAAAACATAATATTCTGGTAAAAGGGGTTGGAAAAGGAGAGTATTTATCAGGGGGTGCGGTTTGCATACGGATGCATTCGTAGCTGTAGAGTTAAGTTTGAAGCAATCATCACCGTTCAAGCATTTTAATAGTGAGCACTAAGACCAAGGGGAAGATGTCCCCCTAAGATGGTGTGATGGGATAGGAGAAAGAGGTACGGAGAGAGGGAAGAGAAGGGGTTCAGTTTTCAAGTGAGGTAACTGGCTAGAGCCACGGAAGATGTGATCATAGAGCGACGCGGAACTTATGTAAGGAGAGAGAGAACAGACGGAGAAGATGCGAAAGTCAGAGTACGGATGAGTTAGTGGTGCCATTATTCTTCAAAACAGTACTGTATTGGGCCGGTTATGAAACCAAGTCGTTATGGTTTACGCTGGAATTTTGTTTGGGGGGGTTTTCTCTGCTGCTATTATGTCTCAACCAATATTCTATGTTTTATGAATGGAAATAGGGCAAAATCTCATCTAGGGTTTCATTCCTGAATTTCTAGAGAGAGAAATGGATGATTGATGTCATCTCAGTTCTAAATCCATACCTCAATGAAGTGAATTGAGGGTTTGTTTCATCTTGAATTGCAGGTTATTTGCAATTGAAATCAAGGCAAATTTGAGCGGTTCAAATGCTTGCTTGAGTTAATCTTGGCGTTTGGTTCCTTAATTCGAGAGAGAGAGATAATTCATTTGATCTCAAATTCAGATGCAATGAACAAAAGGGAGGGTTTGGTTCATCTTGAGATGCATATATCTACAGTTGAATTTAGGGAAATTTTGAGCTCTTCAACCGTGTATTATTCCAATATAGGGTTTTGGTTTGCAGATTCTAGAGTGAGAAAGAGATAAGCGATCTGATTTCAACTTCAGATCCAGTTGTCAATGAAGCAAAAGGAGGGTTTGATGCTTTTAAAGTTGCATACTTGCAAAGGTGAAGTATTCACTCTCTTCCTAATTGGATGGAGCAAAATTGCCAGATTTTGAATACAGAGGGAGTAAGTGTAGCACATATGCAAGCCCTAGCCACCTCTTCTCAAGCAAAAACACAGGCTGCTACCATTGTAGCCTATAATCTGAGACAAAGGCCTCTGAGTATCGAATCAAGCTGCAAGAATCATAAATATTACAAAATGTTGGTTTGGCTCATGAAAATTTATCACAAACTAGTGTCACTTCAGTCAAGTTGTTACAAATGTTACAAATGTGTTAAATATAAGGGATGCAGAATTAAGCAGTTCTCTTTTGGCAATGGTTGATGTTTCTATGAGGTGGAGAAGGGAGAGAGCGAGACTGATACATAAGATGGTAGCAGACAGATAGAGGATGGCGAGCGGTGAAGGGGTGAGAGAGAAAGAGAGAGAGAGAGAAGTAAAGGGGAGAGAAACATCCAAGATGGCAGAGTTTGAGGGAATCGTACTTCCAGATGACAATGTTGATGTCTTATGTTCAAAACCGTCCAAAATATTGGACGGTTGATAAAGCTGCATCCTTAATTATTCAAATAAAGATGGGACCGTATTTCTTAAAGACGTCTCAATGCATTACCATTTAGTAACGACTACCCATGTGGGTAGGACTTCAAAGAATCATCATTAAAATTGACACAGATCTCTAAAAAAATTATCACATGAATGTGGGATTTGACTTTTCTATAAATCTGTACTAAATTTAATGGTGATATTTTGGGACACACATGGGTGGGAGAGAGTTCTATATACATAGGTGGGAGAGGGTCCTATAGGATCATTTCTCATTACCATTGGTGTGGTTTGTATAAGGCTGAGGGTCTAAACAATCAAAGTAAGGCGCTCTTTCAAATAGTGTTGAAAGATAAGAGTACAATATTGCCCTGAGGCTGCGCCGTCGCGTCTCAGATACAATATGGAACGCCCCTAAAAATTTATTTTTGAACATTTTTCAAAAAAAAAAGAAAGAAAAGATACAGTTCAATACTAAAAATATTTGTTATAGCATGAAAATTTATTTTCATCTCTAATTATAAAATTTAAACCTTTAAAAGTAGTGTAGATCGAACATATCTATGAACACTTGAAAATATTGAAAATTGACGGTCTGAAAATATATCATAAGATGCACTATTTTTAATACTTGAAATCCATTTTTTCTCATGTTTATACATCTTAAAGTCGAGATGATCAATTAGAGGATTTTTGAGCTTCAAGACAACATCTTTCAATGAATTTTTGAGGTGTGCCCTAAATTGATTGTTTAGAGCCTTGCCGCTATATAAACTTTTTTCTTTTATAAATAGCTCATTTAGATATATGTGGGATTGGCTAATGAAAGCATTAACATATTGAAGCTATCTCAAGTTAATTAGATTTTCACACGGTGGGAGAGGCCGAACGTTGCTCTTGGAGGTAGAATTATGTGGAGAATTATTAAAGGGTTAATGGTGTGGGAGATTCAAGGGAATCCAATCAGGGCCCATTTGGTTTCTTGGATTTAGATTTTTTGGAGTCAATTTTTTCTAAAAAAGTTGGGCCAATCATGTTTGGCTTGTTTAGAATTGGCATTTCTGTTGGAATTGAGATTTCCGTGGGATTCTTGAATGCTCGTTTTAAGCCTAAATTTTGGAAATCTCAATTCTATCAAAATAGGAGGAACTGACATTTCATGAAAATGATCATTTTGCTGTTGAAGAACAAAAAAATATCAAATTTTAAAGAGGAAAACTAAATTTTAGAGAGAGAAAATATATAAAAATTTTAGAGAGAGAAACTCTATCAAATTTTAGAAAGAAAAAGTATACGAAATTTTTTAGAGAGAGTATATGAAATTTTATTATAGAGAAACTATCTCAAAGTTTTAGATAGAGAAACTTTCTCAAATTTAAAATTTTAGAGAGACCATATTAAAATTTCAAAGAGAGAAACTATCTCAGATCTTAAGTTTTAGAGAGAGAAAATATATTAAGATTTTAAAGAGATAAACTACATTAAATTTTAGAGAGTGGGACTTCTTAAAAATTTTTAGAGAAAAATATGTCAAAATATTTAGAGAGAAATTATCCCAAATTTTAAGTTTTAGAGTGCATATTAAAATTTTAGAGATTAGAAGTTTATATCAAATTCTAGATAGAAAACCTACCTGAAAATTTTCAAAGAGAGAAATTATTTAAAAATTTCTAGATAGAGAAACTATTTAACATTTTAAGTTTTAGAGAAAGAAAGTATATTAAAATTATAGAGAGTGAAACAACTTGAAATTTTAGAGAGTGAAACAACATGAAAGTTTTAGAGAGTGAAAATTTTAGAGAAAATTTTAAAGAAGGAAAATTTTTAGAGAAATTTTTTATAGAGTGAAATTTTTAGAGAAATGTTTTACAGAAAATTTTTAGAGAGTGAAAATTTTAGAGAGTGAAAGTATATGAAATTTTTAGAGAGTGAAAATATTTAGAGAGTGAAAATTTTAGACAGTGAAAGTATATGAAATTTTTAAAGAGTGAAAATTTTAGAGAAAGAAAGTATATGAAATTTTTAGAGAGATAAACTATTTAAAAATTTCTAAAAAGAGAAACTATATCACTTTTTAAGTTTTAGAGAAAGAAAGTATATTAAAATTCTAGAGAGTGAAACAACTTGAAAATTTTAGAGAGAAGAAATATCTCAAATTTTAAGTTTTAGAGAGAGAAAATACTTAAAACTTTAGAGAGAGAATCTATATCAAATTTTAAATAGAGAAACTACTTGAAATTTTTTGAGAGAGAAACTATTTAAAAATTTTAGATAGAGAAAATATCCCAAATTCTAAATTTTAGAGAGAGAAATATATTTAAATTTTAGAGAGAAAATATATCAAAATTAAGTTTTAGAGAGAGAAAACATCTTAAGATTCTAGAGAGAGTAACTCTATCAAATTTTATAGTGAGAAAGTAGTTAAAATTTCTTAGAGAGATAAACTATCTTAAAATTTTTAGGAAAAAACTATCTCGAATTTTAAGTTTTAGATAGAGAAAGTAACTTATAATTTTGGAGAGAGAAATTGTATCATATTTTAGAGAGAGAAACTACTTGAACTTTTTTAGAAAGAGAAACTATCGCAAAATTTTTATAGAGTGAAACTATCGCAAATTTTAAGTTTTAGAGAGAGAAAGTATCTCAAAATTTTAGGGAGAGAAACTATATCAAATTTTAGAGAGAAAGTATATAAAAGTTTTCGACAAAAACTATTTTAAAATTTTTAGAGAGAGAAACTATTTTAAATTTTAAATATTTGAAAGAGAT